GTTTAACATCTTTCGGTTTTATATAATCTTTAATAACGACTAGATATCACTCGAGACAGTATAATAATTTTTAAGCCAAAAAAAAGATGGGATTAGACTTGATTTTTGGAATTCATTTGAGTGAAACTTTGTAATCGAATCTTTGGTGGATATTTTGTTATTTAACGAATAATAAGCTCAATAATGAAGTTTGTATTTGCAAAAAAACGAATAGTAACTATATGATTTGAAGCAACAAAAGTTATAGGTATTCATAGTCTGAAATTGAATTTTTGAACTAAAGACAAGCTCATTTTTGTATTGGTTGCTGAAGTTTTCCTATTGATGTTTAGAACTGCAACTGATCAATCTCTTGTTGGCATATGTACATCCGGTTCGAATTTCCTCAATACTGCATTCATTCCGAAGCATTATAAGCATAAGCTAGTGACCGTCTGGACTCAGTAGCTAAGTGGCTAACGCGACGGCGTTTGAAGTGAACGATACTGGGTTCGAGTCCAAGAATGAACACCAACTCTGAGATTCAGGCAAAAACATCTAACGAACCTCAAATAAGACGAAGCGCGCGTCTTTGATTTCAATATTAGGCACCATTATCTCTGCCTATAAATACAAGTTATTTTTGAACTAATGGCTTTCTTATCAGTCCTATTGATAAATATTAAGGTTTTCGTTTCCAACTAACATTTTGTAGCAAAGCTATAAAACATGGATTCAGTAAACAGTTGCATGATCAAATACTGTTATTCTACTATAAATATTACTTGCACACTATTGTATGTGACTTTATTTCGTTTTATCTTCAATTTTGCATTTATTAAAATGCTTTAATTTACGTTTCATTAACTTTAATAATGTGCAATACTGAACAACCTAGATACGCGTAAATTTATATACTTCTCACTTTGAAGGATATCGTCTTTTCTGTTATTTAACTGATAGACTCATTTAGAAGGAAATTATAGTATATCTAATCCTTTAGAATTTCTCATACAATTTGAGCGTGCATTTGTATAATTAGATTAAAGAAATGTGATATAATATTTTTATATTTTATAACTTGTCCTGTTGAGTTATAGCAGAAAATCACTTGTATATTCCGTTGTAAACCGATATGATACGACAAAGATTTACCGATTCTATTCTTGTAGATGTATTTATTTCATTGTGATATATCGCTGATACATGGTCACAACAGGTAAACAAAAGATGAACTGATTATTATCAGTTTGCTTGATACATAATCATGTTTCACTATCACTTCAGTGCAATATAACAGAGTTTATATCTAGTCAAAGTAATTTCTTATAACATATTTAAGAATCATTATTGGCTTATAAAAATATTACAGGTCTAAGCAGGATAGGATTCGATCTACACTAAGAAGAACCTGACATACATGACATTGATAACCACCCAGTGATCAATCAGTTGTCATTACATCTCACTCCTACAGGAGGTCGGTCGCAGCCCGGATGGTGTCTCTGACTGTGTAGCTGGGTGATAAGTGATCAAACCCGTCAAGAAGCATCAGTTCCCTCATAATCACAGGTACAGCTTGTTGACAGATGTTAAGTAGCTACTCTTCTTGAAATCCATACAACTTATAGATATATTTCGTTGGATCTTATATATCATTTGGTCGTATAAACAAAGTTAAACTAAATAAAATGTTATAGATTCAATAGTGCCATACATCAAACTATTATTATGATTATTATTATTATGCTTATAAACTTTCATATTAAAACATGAGATATCAGTGTTATGGCCATTTCATTCATTATCTTACACTGTAGTCATTCATATAATGTGCATACATACTTACACTCATAACACCTCGTGGTTCATGAGCGACCGACTTCGATTCACCAACTAACTCTGTCTTGTGCTCTCCTTTCATTTATTTTTAAGTGTTATTTATTATTCTGATGTTTACCACCAATTCCAGAAGAATTCTTTTCATTGATCTGTCTCTTTTCTTTCTAACTTCATGATTCCAAATTAAGGCTTGCCTTGTGAAGTTGTTTGATAATGTTCGCAATATATTTCCTATCCATGTAATATGCATAATTCTTCTACTAATCATCAAAACTTAATTCATATTCATTTACATTTCAAAAATGTGCATTTTATTTATCTGTCACTATTCAAAAAATATATATATTCAACGTACCGTTAAGTAACTATGTATAACCATTGAACTAAAATTGTAAAACATTCCTGTTGTTCTATTTTCATTCCCCTTGTTATTGAAAGAGAAAAAAAAATTTTTTTTAATTTTTTGTTCTTCTAAACTATTTGAATTGGATGCTTTTCTTTTTTCTTGTCTCATCTTTTTTTTAAACATCAATATGTTGATTATATCATAGAAATATTGATCAATATTAAAAATAGAAAAAAAACAATGCAATAATAATTTTAACAGAAAAATGGAAACAACCACAAGTGTCATGTCATATTAATTTACGTTACAGTTAACTTCGTTGAAGTATTAAGTTTTCTTAAAAATGTCAGTAACAGAAGAACAATGACATGAAATGTAACACTTTTCTTTTTCGTTTTTTTTCTTTTTTTTATTTGAATGTAACTAAAATATATAAACAAGTATTATTTAGTTATTTGTAGTTAAATGTAAAATACTTTTAAAGAAATAAATTTATATTTATATAGTAACCATGTTGATTGGTGAGAACGTTTTGGTTAATGTTTAAAATAATTTTATAGTGTTATATTGGGTGACATGGTTTAGAATCGATCACAATAGTGTAAGTGTATACACACTTGATGTCTTTCCTTAAACCGTGAGAATAAAATTGCTATATAATTTTTTCTTTCTATAAACTAATTGGTTCTTCTTGTATTATAGCGTTATACATAATCTTTCTTTTATATATATTATTACTATTGAAATAACTACTTTTATGGAGTTTATGTTTATCTTGTCGTGCTAATGAAGTGTAACAAGTTGGACCGATGCATATATGTGCCTGGCTTTACTCTCTGAGCTGGATGGTTTAGTCGTGGGGCTTTCATTGTTCTTCTGAACGACATCATCAGTACAAACTTTAGATAGAAGTGAAGCGTTCGAATTTCTTCATATATGGTTCACAGCTTGTCCTGTAAACCTCGGTGTTGATTGGTTCTTGTTAACTTTAAACTTGTCATTATTTACTTCTTTGTTTTGGTTGTATCTCCGATTGGTTTGATTTTTGTTCCTATGTTTGTGAATAATTTACCCGATTGATTGATAAATTGTATCAATTTTAATGTGCTTGTTGATTGCTCATTGACATGAGTGCCAAGCTTCTAAAAATTCTCTGGTGTTTTTGGAATTTTCTCTATCCAAGATTTCCACATTTTTCCAGTCAAATGAATGTCCGCAGTTGTCCACGTGCCTGACTCACTGATATTGTCATTTAAAAATATAATAGTTGAATTCATGAGTCAATTAAAGCTAGATCATCATGGAAAGCCTGAGAGCACTGGACGGCCGTTTCATCCTAGTATGAGACTTCTTAACACTATGAATCCACGACCTCGCCTCACAGGATTCGAACCCAGGATCTATCAGTCTCGCGCGCGAACGCTCAACCCCTAGACTACTGAGCTGGCATCCAATGATGTTAATGTCTAACTTCAACCAATTCATGAAATTGTACAATTTAAAAGTTTATTTCTATTGTAATATTTTTAAATTTGTCAAATGAGTAAAATGGTATTTTGAAATTTTACACAATTTTTTCCTACTTCATAACACAGTCATCTAAGATGAAATGTTTACAAATCATTTACTACTTTTTATACTGTATATATTGTGAATCATCAATTAAGACCATATAAGTAATATGAAATTGTTCTACTGATTGATTCATTGTATTCAATTCTGTTTTTAGAACATTTCTTACTAAAGTGCTTATAACATGAAAGCATTAATATAATTCGATAAGTATTTATGAGTATTCCATTAGAAATGTGTGCTACATTAGATTATCTTAATTCATTTTTTATGTATAATCTACATAATATAGATTGATAAATAAATATTAGAAGTACCAAATGTTATTCTATTAGTAAGTTGTTGATCCACCGAATTATAACTTATTAAGGTATTAAATTAATGTAAGAAAGCTTAATGACATAATATTAACTCAGTATTAGTAAAGATGTTGATTTATTATATAAGTTATTTCGTATTGCAAGTGTTTAGATAGAAAGAAATAAAATGAAACTAAAAAATCGAGTTTTTCGTTTCTACCTATGAATATCTATTGGTTAATTTGCAAGCATAATTGCTAGTACGAGCTACTGAATATTTTTAATAGTTAAATTTGTTTGAAATTATTCTATTATATTACGGCTTACACAATTTTTTTCTCGGGATTCCAGTTTGTCAGTTAAACAATTACATTATATGTGAATGATATGTTATTGATGAAGAATAACAGACGAGTTTGTATCTAAACTAGGTAGATTTAGGCAAAGATAGATAGTGGCTGACAGTGGGATACAGGACGCGCCTTTCGTCCTATTTAAAAATCGTCAGCTAGATCTACCCGTATCTCAGAACTGATGTTCACTCCGGGACTCGAACCCACTACCGTTCGCTTTGGACGCAATCGCACTACCCATTTAACTACTGAGTCCTGAAAGTCACCTGCTTATGCAATGGGGTGAAGTTTAAATTCACTTAGTGTTGTTTTACCCGTATTTTCCTATTGTTATTTAGAACTGCAATTGATCATTCTCTTTGCATAAAAAACGCTTACGACCTAAGGTTATATCGAGGGAATCCGCACGGGATGCACGTATGCCAACAAGAGACTATTCACATTCCTACAAATCATAAACGGATATAATCATGTCATAATATTTTTTCACGAAGATTATTCGTTAAAAAAATACCCTCAAAACAGATCTATTTCTCACATGTGTGAACATGAATTATTTAATCTTGTTACTTACGGAAATATTTTTTGTTTATTATCTAAAATGATCAGGTTTCAAATGGAATACCTGAACTACGTTTCGATAATATTGTAATTACGTTAAGTTCACTAAACATTTCGGATGGAAATTGGCATGTCTTTGAAGTCACATTTACATCAAGGTGAGTAAATTAATTTTATTGAGAAAATGTTTAACTATCAAACATTGAATTTTTTTCTATGAAATAATACTGTTTGACAGGTTAGAATATAAATTTTAATTTATAAGTAAACAAGTATTTCAGTCAGTATATTCATTTGGTAATATGATATCAGTTTTATCATTTTAGAAATCTTTATTGAGTTTTCAAAAACAAAGAATATCTGAACGGTCAATTGTTTACAATAACTTAGTCATCAGACTCTACAGTTATAAGTCCATAATTAGTGTGCTATTTTTTACCAAGGCCGAAATAAGCCATGCTATTAAATTAAGTAATGTCGTATTCATTATGAAACCATAGAAAGTGTTGAACATAATTAAGATAATGAATTGACTATTGGTCATGGGTTTAAGTCATGCTTGCGAGATCGTGGATGCTCACTACTGAGGAGTCCCGTACTAGGGAAAAACGGCCGTCCGCTGTATCCAGGTTTTCAATGGTAGTCTAACATTGATCGGTTCATGATTATAATGTTATATGTTAAAAATGGTGAGTTTTCACATCCGTTACGTCATAAATACTTGAAAAATGTGTCACCTGTATATTAGGAAGGCTGTTTATTAAAGGTCAGAATGATTCGTCACAATGTGTCTATTTTTTAACCAGTATAATAGTAATAAAATAAGGTTAATATAATGCGAAGTAAGAGAACTTTGTCTCGGTAATTTTGTGTAAATATAATATGTATTAAGAGAGATACTACCAAGGTATTCATGATTAGGATTCGTGTGAATTGGGAAACATGAATGTGTAGACTGAGAATGGTATAAATGCAGAAAAGATCGAGAGAATGAGAGGTTTATAATATCCAGTTTAGATGTCTAGTCATCCAGTTATGGACCAAGGTTTAACATACCTCTTTTCGACACATAAGTTGAGCTATTTGGAGGTAATCCAGATTACTTTGACTATGTAAAAGAATTGTAATATAGCTCCTTTAGATATATTACCTGGAACTTGATATCAAACAGAGGCTTCATTTATTTTAATATAATGCCCACTATCTATCAACTGAGAACGGATGGGGCTATTAATATACTTGGTAACTTCCATTTGCGACTATGGTGGTACATGTTCACCAGTACACAAGGATAAAGCTTTCAGCGTATGACGAATCTAGCTAACTCCACAGGAGGTCTTTGTAAAATAACACAATATTTATGGACTCATAACTGATAACAAAGTTATTTCAAATAATTGTTCACTTAAACATTCTTTATTTCGAAATCTAGTTATGTATAATATCATGATTAATCTAGAGAAAATTTCATCCGAAATCAATGATTTTTCTGAGAAACATATGTTATTAAATGTTGAGGTAATAAAGTATCAGAAAGTCATCGGCCTTTTTCAAAGAGTTTTCTCTAAACTAAGAATATTCTCAAATCTATAATAAATAAAGTTTTCGTAATAAAGACACAGAATCGATATAAAGCTTCTTGATTTATTATGGAAGATTTGAACAATAAGATATTTAAAAAAGCAAAAAGAACAAACAAACAGATATTCATGGAATTCAGTATATTGTACAACAGGAAGATTTAAAAGCTTCTACTACCATCATAATAAATGATATAGAGTATTCATTGTTGTAATAATAATACTAATAATAATAATGATAATCTGTAATAACTTTTTCACATACTTGTGCAATTAGATTCGTTTAGTTGTTAAACAAATAAGTTAATTCATTAGTTCTTACTAGTCAAGTTTCCAAGAATTTAAGGATGCTAAAACTTTGAAGTAAACATAAACTATTTGCAAGTTATGGTAGTAATAAATTAGATGGTGGTTGGAGGTAGTCGACAGGAAACCCTGGACCCGGATTTCATGCTACTTGGCACTTGTCAGCAAGGTGCACCTGTAATCTTGAGGAAACTGGTGCTCCCTGGAGGATTCGATCTCGTGTCACTCAGCTTCACAGTCACAGACGTGACCACTGACCTATCCGAGCTGCGACCGACCTCCTGTAGGACTGATATGTAATCACAATTGATTGATCACAGGAGGTCGGTCGCAGCTCGGATAGGTCAGTGGTCACGTCTGTGACTGTGAAGATGAGTGATACGAGATCGAAACCTCCAGGGAGCACAAGTATCCTCAAGATTACAGGTGCACCTTGCTGACAAGTGCCAAGTAGCACGAAACCCGGGTCCAGGGTTTCCTGTCAAGTACCTCCAACCACCATCTAATCTCAATATATAGTGCACGCAGTGTCGAGTCACCTGGACTGGTGGCTACATCGCAACATGATCGATAGCATTTAATCTACACTAAATAAGGACTAGACACGCATAACATTGATCACCACCCAGTGATCAATCAATTGTGGTAGTAACAAATATTTATTATATTCTATTAGTTTGAATGTTTCAGTGATTTATTCATGAGATAGAAGTTAATATTTATTAGTTGTTCAAAATACTCATCATGTTTTAATAATTACGTGTTCACAGTCAGAAATGTCAAGAAGTTGAGCGATAACTTTAAGGTTCACCAAATAGTCTACAATAAAAATGCTTCCAAACAAATAGTAGTATGAATAGTTGGTAAGCTAATGACAGATATTTCTAGTTTTTTACTTAAAAATACTGAATGAATATTGAACCTTTTTTAGAATCATTGTTTAACGGATATTTATTTTGATTCAATTAGCAACCAATGACCTTTATCAAGACTTAAAACATTTTTTCTTTCAAAAGATTTTTAGATTTTCAGGTCGATGAACTAGATAAAATATATTATGATTCAAGATATTTTCCAGAGAAATCAATTTCAAGAGGTTCAGTTGATATAATTATTGCAAACGGAGCTAAAGACAGTAAGTTTCATAAACGTTTTTCATAAACTAATTGATGCGTATTTGTGATCTGTAAGGACGTATTAGTTTACAAGATATACAAAACTTGATGAAATGAATGTTGGTTGCATAGTTGGTGGTAGGAATTTAAGGACGTATACTTTCGAGGTATCAGAAAGTTTTTTAAACAAAATACCACGGTGAGAAAACCACTGTAATTAATTTAAAACTTTTCACTAAGCGTTAGATTTGATAACTCATTATGTAATACAATTATCAACCTAAGGGTGTTGGCTTGACTTTATGTAGAAAGTTATGGAAAGTTAAGTGTTGATTTAGTGACTCAGTGGTCACTTATAATTTAATTTGACCCTTTAACAGTTTAGTCAGCAATACCTATTGTGTGAACTACATGACGTCAGCTTAGAAAAAACCAAATGATTTCCCAAATCTACTAAGTTTAGCAGTTTAATATTGGAAGGTAAGATATCTTCACAATAAAATTACCCAACTATTGTCATTTCATTCCCCAATTTACACTATATCTATCAACAATATATCTCAAGATCAACAATTATTCATAACCATTTATTATGATAAGAGATTGCCATGATTATTCATTTAAGTAATTATGACCAAATTTGCTTGTCTGAATAAATTTCAGTCGTATATGTTACGAGTTAATTTGTTTTGATCTTTGGTAAGTTACGTATTAAGAGGACTAAAACAGCAGCTTCTTTGAATAGCATAATAAATTATACCACAGGCCTGTGAATTCAAATTGATTGTCATTACATTATAGATTGAATGTAACTAGACAATCGTCGAAAGCCAGAAAGTACTGGACACCTACTTTACTCTGGTATTTAACGCCTCAGAAAATTGAACTCATAAATTCACATGACATTGACGTACAAATCTCCAGGTTTCATAGAAAACGCTCAATCCGAACAGCTGAATGTTTTGGATTCGATCTCTGTCAGTGTTGTAGATGTTTACTGCCGAGAGGTAATGCAATAAAACAAAACAGCTTCTTTGGGCATTCCAGTTTCTATCTATCTTTTAACTAAAGGGAGTGTGTGCTTTAAACTAAGAATCAGACTGTCACCATAAATGTTCGATATCAATATTGATTGTTAATAATTGTTTTCCGCGCACTGTCGCGCTAGTTCCCTACTTCGTACTCATCTGGCACGAAAGAAATTAAGTTGTATTTTACTGCATACCTACAAAACGATCGGAAATCACTCATTAGTTTATAGTGAATCGTTTATTATCCTTTATCTATTTATAGCATGTCTAGATGATGCTTGGATCGATTTCCGTAATATATGGCCTGATTTTGAACAAGATTATCCATTGGAAATCATTAGTAACCCATCATTTCAACGGTATACAGACTGGGGTACAGTTGGCAGACAGTCAGGTTGTTCAAGTGGTACTGGGTTTTGTAATAGTTCAAAAAGTCTTTGTGATATTACCGCTTCTTGTATAGAGGAATGGAGAAGTTATCGATGCGAGTAAGTTTCTAGGTGATGTCAGTTATTATTTGTAAGCTAATTAATTGTGCAATGTCCAATTAAGTGCACTGCTATAACAAAACTGTCGTTTTTTAAAATTAACCATCTTTCTTTGGTAAATTTAGAATTCGTTTAAGAATACGTTGAAAATATATTATTTATATAAATGGAATTTTTATACCTATAATTTGTAAATTTCATGGGCTTTTACTATTCCGAGTTTATTTTCACTTATGTAATATGATTTAAATACGTTTTTCAGTGTTACGATAAATATCTTAGTTGTAATTTCATTTGATAACTCTCAATCGCTTTACTGGTATACGGTGATGTTAGGTTATTACAATTATTGACATAAACTTTCGATAACTATAGTCAGATGTTTAAGACTAATGAGGTACAATTAATCTGATAATGATACACTGTGAAATGATTTGAAAATTCAGTCATTCAGAGTAACCTTAAAAGAGGAACAAGATGATTTGTTTTTACCTTCATAATGGCCGTAATGTATGATTATATAGCTCAATATATATCCGCATATCAGTTGGCTGCAGTGAAAAAATTCGCAACCATTAATCATTTGAAACATTTTTCTATCTTTTTCATCGATCGGACTCAGCTAATATGATAATTACAATAATACAATCAAGTACATTAGTTTCAGTACCAAAATGGAATAAGTAAACATTTCTTAAAGTATATTCAACTAAGTAACTTGCTTGTATCAACTCATTATACCATAATCAATAAAGTTAATTAATAAAACACAGAATTTCATCAATAATCAAATGTTGAGTTTCATTAAAACATTAATCTTGTTTTTAAACATTGAATTACATAACAAATTTGTAATTATAATATTTTAATGCGCTTGTATTCGTTGAACAGTACAAAACAGAATTGGTACTAAGTTTACTAATGATGAATTAATGAAAAAAAATGATTCCATTGATGAAATTTCAAAATTTTTTTCCTAGATGCTTGAATAACACAGTTAAAGATGACAAGGGTAAATGTGTTCCATCACAATGTTATCCAAACCCATGTGTTAATGGTGAATGTCATGTACTTAATGGTGCTAGTAATTTTACATGTATTTGTTATGGAATCTGGACTGGACCATTATGTAACCAAGTTTCAAGCGTAAATATAGCTGGTCTAAGTTGGTGGTGGATTCTACTTGTTGTTCTACTACTGTTAGCGATATGTGAGTCACGAAGTATTTTTTTCTTTAATCAAACATGTATTTACGTCGGTACTTGTGAACTGCTTAAATCTATCCGACACACACATATATATATATATATAATACGTAATCACGCCACCTAGACAAAAAGATTGTCATAAAATCTTAAAACATTAATAGTAGACCCTTTATGATTCTTTTATTCTATAATATTAAATTCATTTGCATATGCTGTTTAAACTTCTTCGGCAGAATTCATAAGAATTACTTATTCATAAGTCTTTTGAAATTCGTAACAAACAAACACACACACACACACAAAAGTCATGATGTTTTTGATTTATGGAATAATAGTAAGATGATATAAATGATTCTTTACATTATGATGAATGTTACCTATTCTGTACGGGAATTCTTTTTTTCTTCTTCTTAACTAAGGCTAAAAGGAATTACAGTTTATATTTATTAACTAGATTTGTTTTTCGAGTCATTTTTGTAAATCTGTTCAAAAATTAATTAAGCTTGTAATAAGTTTATTATTGATTAAGAATTTATAGAAAATATGATTAAGTAACCAAGGTGATTATGTGGAAATATCCTATACCTTTTTTTAAAAAAAATGTAGTTTATAAGTTATATATATATTTAGATATAATAATCTAAGGAGTTTAATTGACTTGGTATTGTTTGTCTTGTATCTTCCTTTTGAGGTTTAAGACTGCAATTGATCAGTCTGTTATTGGCATATGTGTTTGAAGTGGTTTCTCAACTGATATATTAAAAAAAATCCAAATAATAAACTTACATCAGATGCATAAAAGTACATCTGAAAAAATTATTTTGTAGTGGTTTTACTTTGTTAATCAATCAACTTGGTAACTGTTATTATTATAAATCTCAACGGTGTTTGAAATCAGAAGGCAATGAGAAGCAGCAACTATAGTTTATTTACGGATAGCGCAGATAACATAGTTATAAGCATATAAAGCGAAATTGAAGTAGATAGGTGAATGTGTGTTTGGAAGAGAATACAGAGGTAGATTTATAGTCAAATCGAATAAGGCGCAGCTAGGCAAGGTAAGGGCTAATAATAGTATTCGAGTACATATATCCATGGAAAAGAGCGATTCACATTTTAACTAGAGATATGTAAGTATGCTGTCATATGTTATCAAGCGTACACGTTGATACGGACAAGATAGTGATCATAATAGTACAAGGAAATATGCAAATTTTTACTATATGAATAACATTGTTTGTTAAGTAAGTTAATAAAAGGGTTCAAGCAAAATTTAACTATAATGGATATTGATTTTTAGGAGAGTTGTTATAATCTCTAGTACAAAAATCATCATATTATTTTTTTATTTATTCTTAATTCATTTAGTGTTGGCAACAATTTTTTTAATTATCTGTTGTCGCAAACGTCGTGAAAAGAAGAAATCTAATTTAATTGATTTTAACAATGAACTGAGTGATCAAAAGTTGGGTATAGATACTCAGATGAATGATCCATGGAGTACAGGTAATATATTTATAAGTTTTTGTTTTCAGAATTTATTTTTTGGTAACATTATTTTGTAGCGAACTCCTGTAAATACGCTGAAAAACTTTGTTTTTTGATCAGTACAATTTTTGGAATATTCTTTGTATAATGGTTACAGTTTAAATATTTTTTTGTCAAGCTTTTGATGATTAATTTTCGATAGTCATAGAAGCTATGAAACCCTGAATAAATGTGCATCGGAACCGGATAACACACTTTATGTTGATTTGTACAGTTAAAAAAGCCAATCGTAATATGAAACGAATGAAAATAAGTGAATATAGTTTTAACATGACAAATGAAACCATGAGATAGAAGTTTTAAAATATTTTAAGCAAAGAAGGATGATGGCTAACAGTAGAATTTAAGACGCGTGTTTTATCTTGCTTGGAACTCGCCAGTTGGATGTACTTGGATCCGAGTTGGTGTTCACTCTAGGACTTGAATAGACTACCTTTCGCTTCAAACACCGCTGTGTTATTCACATAGCTACTAAGTCTTGATAATCACCTGACTATAAAGTGAGGGCGATCTCGATATCAATTCAAACGTAATGATCGTGTGAATCTTACCACTGATGTTTAGGACTACAGTTGATCAGTTTCATACATATATGCCAAAAAAGACCGATCGATTGTAGATCTGAACATCAATGGGCGATCCAACTAACCAATATTTGAGAACTGAAGTTATGTTCTGAAATAGTTTAAAGTAAAAACTTAAAGACGGTGAATGAAAACAGTCAAGATATATGCAACCAGTTTTTTAAACATATTACATTCCAGTCATTTGCATTTAGACAGTGATTATCAGATCTATTAACAATGACATGACTATAGTGAATTAAATTAACCTATCCGTTTTTCAACTTGATTTATGTCCGACTGACGTCAAATGTTGTTCAATAATCACTCTTATTCAAACCTTTTCTCGTGACGGAGACATTTACTTCCTGCATTTGTAGAAGATTAATGTGATTTCTTAGGCAGTTAACTTGTAATCAAGATGGTTATGAATAAAAAAATCCGGTCAAACGGAGCTATGATTAACAATCATTTGAAATTTATCAAGTTGGCATCAATGTTAGATAACGGAAACGGATTTTAAATATTTGCTGTTACCATCAGTTAAATGTTCGGTTATAAATAACAACACTTTCTTATTTAAATAAAGTAACTATTATAACATGAATTCGTTGAAAATGTTTCTTAAAAGGTATTGAGTAGCACCTATTTAATCTTTAGTCAAATGAGTTCCAATAAAAATTCTACAAATTTTTCATTTATATTTATTGTTTCATTGTACTTTCATTGTTTATAATTCTAAATGCATTTAAGGTGAGAAAGATTTCCATGGACCGATTGATTATTCAGTGTTAAAAGGAAATATTAATTCTAACCCGTATCAACTTACAACTAATGGGTCCTATCAGAGTAATGGTTACTTACCAACAAGTAGAAAATCAGGTAAATAAACAACAGAGAGTGTATCACAATATTTTAATGCAAATTTACATGAATAAGCTTTCAAAATACATAACCTTAATCGACGTGAGTTTATGTTTCTCAGTAGAGTCCAATCTGTGTTGTCTGGAGACAATTCTCCAACTCAGACAATGGATGAAGTATTGTGCACGATCACGGATTGATTGTAAGTAGACATTGACACCGTTGGATACCGGCTCAGTGGTCTAGAGGTCAAGCGGCCGCGCGCAAGACCGAAGATCTTGGGTTTGAGTCTTGTGTGAGGGATCGCGGATGATCACTGTTGAGGAGCTCCACACTGGGACAAAACGACCATCCAGTGCTCACAGGTTTTCAATGGTAGTCTAGTTGAGATCGACTCATGAATTCAACTACTTAAACTTCCCTTTAGTTTTGTATATAGTCGTTTTAACTCAAGCATTTTTTAGCAATCACTGTTTGTTTATAATGAAAGACACAACGATTTTTCAATGAATGAGGAAGAGCTGAGTTTGCAAATAAAATTATTAAATTACCGAAATTGTTAAATCAGATATCGTGTGTTATGAATGGTAGAAATATAAAATAAAGCTAATTCAAATGCAGTTTTCTAATTGATATTGAATAATAAATCTGAATTTTGTTAAAATTTCAAATAAAGTAGTAATTTAATAGTTGAATTCGTGAGTCAGTCGAAGCTAGATCACCATGGAAAACCTGGAAGCACTGGAAGGCCTAGTATGGGAATTCTCAAGAGTGCGCATCCACAACTCCGCTTTTCGTGATTCGAACCCAGGACCTACCGGTCTCGTGTGTGAACGCTCAATCACCAGACCACTGATCTGGCATTCAATGGTGTTAATGTCTAACTTGAACTAATCCACGAAATTGCGCAGTCGTCCACCATTGTCATCAGTGAGTTACTATCTCACAACAGACCCGATTGAAATCTACTAGTACAGTAGCGTTTACGTAGTGTTTCATGGAGTTTCGTAACTTAGCAAATTACTGTATTTCAGTGTTTTTACTCATTAATTTCAAAATATAAAATGAAAGTTGTATAATCTTTAGTTGGATGAATTAATCATATCTATATAAATTTGTAAACCCATTAGACATGTTTGTTTACCAATATTTCATGGTTTGATGCAAATATTTATACACTAAATACAATAGTACATGTGATTGTAGAAAAGATTCAGGTGAAAATGTAAACGAGTATTCAGTAATATATATATAATGTATTTATCAAACAGACGTAGGACGTTCCATGTTACGAATCATATGAAATATTTATTCAACAAAATCAGAAGTATCACCATGATATACATTGTTAGTACTTTACTTTTAAAAAAATTGTTTTCCTCAACTTATCTTAGGTTGCTTAATTAATCCAGTTCAGTTAACCTAAGTGAATGTAGGTCATGTAAAATGATGAATATATTATATTTTCAACAAATGAAGCTTAATTGAACAGTTTATTATTTATAATGAAATAACATGTTAAATTATTTTACTATTTATTTTTCAGACACAAATGGAAGTATAGATATACAAACATTTCCTAGTGTTACTGCTCAAGCCTATGGACAAAAAACTACAGATATACCACCATGGGAGTCATTTGATCGTCAACCAAATCCTGCAATAAGATTAGATCAAGTATTAGAATATGGATATGAAGGATATGATGGTAGACCTCCACCAGAATTCTGTCCAACTGAACCTGTTGTATCAACATCTTATGATGATTATATTGGTGATGATGGAGATCTTAATATAGAAAATGTTCAACAATCAATAAAACAACCCATACCCAATGGAAAACTGAATACTTCAAACAAATAAAACAGTTTAAAATGTACATTATACTTTTATATTCGAACAATAACTAATAATTCAATAATTTCAATTCATATATTCAAATGATAAATTATAACTAACTAAGTAACTAGCTGACTAACTAACAAAGACTGTTTAAAAGAATCCTCAACGTTATTGAATCATAACAATAACTCTAATGATAATTCATTAATAAAATTATTGATACTTTTATAATGTGTTACATCGTTATTATTGAAATGAAACTTTTTTGTTTTTGTACAATTTAATTTGAATGTAAAAAATTCCCGCCTAAAATTTTCATTTGTGAATAATTCTTTTCTATGTATTTGTTTTTATTCATTTTTGTATTGTCTTCATTTGTAATTCATAAATTTTTTTTGTTTTTTGAAACTGTTCATTGTTTTAATGAAGTATAGAAAGATTCATTAGGATGGATTTATTTAAATCTTTTATAGTGTAATGTTTTTTAACGATATTTCAATTTATTGTATACATTACAGCTATTCTTTCATCATTAGGAATAAAGTAAATCATTCATACAAAATATATTCTAATAAGTACTGTTTAATGAAATTTTGAAGATACGATTTAAACAAATGAATATATCACAGGTTGAAATCATGAGTCAATTGAAGCTAGACCACCATGGAAAACCTGGAAGAACTGGATGGCCGTTACGTCCTAGTATGGGACTCCTAATAACAGCAGTACACATCCACGATCCCATACCCCGCGGGATTCGAATATATGTAATTATGAAACAATATAAAAAGCGATAATTATATCAACATAAGGTTGTAGAGATTGTTGAATTTCAATTGATATTATGAATGGATCAGTGTTTGTCTACTATTGAGAACCTGGAAGAACTAGACGACTGTTTCGTCATAGTTTGATTCTCCTCAGAAGTATGCATCCATACAAGAACGAAATGGACGTCTAGTGTTTTCAGGTTTTCAATGATGGTTTAACATTGATTCATTCATAATATTAATTTAAACTCGATAATTATATATGTTATGAAACCTGAAGTGGTGTAGAAATGTACTGTAATAAAAAGACTGGATTAATACAGGGAAGTAATAAAACTGAAACTATGCAAAATCGTCAGTTTGAGTTTGATAGAAGGGTAGATACTTAGTATACTAGATAGACTATTTCAATTTTCCAATTTTTGGCAAAAAAATATGGATAAACAATAATAAGCAATGTATAACTGTACAAAAATCATACACACACATTTGTCAATCAGTATATTGTATTCTAACGAGATGAGTAAAACAAGTGCGGGAAGGAAACTGTCGATCAAGGATTCACTTAGTATTGTATACTTGAATCTTCCCATTGATGTTTAGGAATGCAATTGATCAGTCTCTTATTGACATATGTACATACTGTGCGTATCGCCCCGATATAGCCCTAATTCACAAGTATTATATGCAAAAATGGACATTGACTAGCAGTGGAATCCAGGACGCACGTTTCTTCCTGTTTAAGACTCGCGAGCTGTATTTACCTGTATCTCAGAGTTGATGTTCACTTTTAGACTCGAACTCAGGTAATATTGCGGCAATACGCACAGTATGCACATATGCCAATAAGTGACTGATCAATTGTAGTCTCAAACATCAATGGTATGATTTAAGTAAGCAATACCGAGTGAATTTAAACGTGATCCTATTGTACAAACTAATGCCTATCAGGAATCAGTAGTTAAGTGGATAACGCGATGGAGTTTGAAGCGAACGGTATTGGGTTCAAGTCCCAGGGTGAACATCAAGTCTGAGATGCAGGTATATTCGTCTAACGAGTCCCAGATAGGATGAAACGCGCGTCTTGTATTCCACTACTAGCCACTATCCATCTTTATTATCGGTCAAGAAGTGTACAGAAACCCAGTTTTAGCCTCATCTTAACTATTATCTGTTCAACTGCTTACAGTAGATTAACTTCAGTTGGTCTTATCAAATGATTCTTGATAATTTTCAAAAAGATTAGTTTCATACCATCTAACTTGCCGAAGTTTATTCACAATAACTAAATAAAACACATTTCCCTTTATTGTATAATTTCTGAAAACCACTTTGATAGTTATAGTTTCAAATAATAATAAAGCACTATTTTAAAGTCCTTAAAGAAGTTTAATTCATTTCAAGAACTGAATATCACCCAAACAGCCATGTCAGTTATTCCTAATTAAAGTTATTGTAGAACTTAAGGAATAACTTGATTGTACTTTTTAAGTAGTATCAATTTAGGAATACAGTCGCACGAAATGAACATTAGTTATAAGTTATTAAAGATTATTTTAGCATCAGAGATATGTTTGAAACATTCTATCAAAGCTAGTACATGGTTTGTGCTGGAAAATTCTCTATGTATAATCAACAAACTTATTACACTTACATTTTTGAATAAAATATGAATTAAAGATTGAAGGGATACTAATGCATTTTGGGTTCGCCAAATACTATACTTTAGGCTATCTGAAAAATAAAAAAATAGTTACATTACTCAGTTAGGTGGGTCGTATTAAACATCAAGATGTTAATGTATATTAAAAGGATTCTATGTATATAATTACATAATATTTGTTTATATAATTGCTTGAATATTTTGATTATCATAATATAAAATTCATAACATTTTGATATAGTGGGGAAGATTTATAGCTCAAGTGGATGATTATGATGGAAATACGATGAAAGCTCCATTATCAAACTAGCTTATAGAACGAAACTCCATCAAAAAATTCATAGTAATTAGTGCAAGGATATTGGTTTCATCAAGAATTTCAAAAATGAATGTACAAATAGTTGATTTTAATTAGAGTATCGTTGTGCAAGTCAAACCAATGACAACTAAACTGTAAATTAATGAGTCAGTCAGTCAGCTACAACGTAGAACCACGCACACATATGCATCAGTCTAAGTTGCTACACCCCATTAGCACAACAAGATGAACAAAAGATTCATGGAAGTAGTTAATTCAATGGCAATAATATATAAAAATAGATTGTATATAAGGATATAGTACGGAAAGAAAGAATTAATTTGTAGAAAAAAAGATATAAAGCAATTTTAATCTCACGGTTTAAGAGAAGACAATAAGTGTATACACTTACACTATTGTGATCGGTTCTGAGCTATGTCACCCTGAGTCTCCAACCATTGGTTACGATAGTCACGCGGATCCGAACCAAGTAGTCTGCCTCTACCAAAATGGCTAAGATTAAAAGTTAGCCATGAAATGATCTTTATATTAAATTACCAATTAAAGAAAACTGTATGCTCTGAAACTAGGATGATATAATTTGAATTACTTGAAATATAAAGAATTTTGTATAAAAAAAGAGGCTATTCATTTCGGTATACTACAGTTTAACTTGATTTATAACACTAATCCTCATTTCGAATTTACTTAAACAGCATTTTAACACTAACACTAAACACATACACACACACACACACTTAAAGTTCATACCATTTCTATCAAAAATATCAACAACAAAGATTTTTTTTACAAGAATACAATTAAGATACCATAAGCAATTGATGTATATAAAATACAAACTATCGTATTCTTCTTTCCCTTTATCTTTTCATTTCTATACTACATACTAAACCTAAATGTACTCGTAAATACTTGAGTTTCTTTTTTGCAAAAAAAGAAAAAAAATTGTTCACTATGAATTCTCAAGAGAATATATGTAAAACAGTTCACTTATTTTATACATTGATATATTGTTCTAATATATCATTGTGTTAAATTGTCATTTCACTTGAATTTTGAAATCTTATAGAATATATACATTTCAAAATTCAATGGTGCATAATGTGTTAAATTATAATATGATAGTATAATAGTATAGTTTATAAAATGGAACTATACATTGAACTATATCGACAAATTATTCTAGTTAGTCTATCGTGATAATATAATGAGGTCAATCATAAGAAGTAAATGAAATGATTATAGTATTTATTATAGTTTATTTTTATTTAAGCTTTTATGAACTTCCTATAGTTTTGAATGTATGATTATTTTTATTTCTTTTCTAATTTTTAGTTAAGATCATGACTTGATCACTGTTAGACTATTACTGAAAATCTGGAAGCATTGAACAAAAATTTTGTCTAAGTATGTTACTCCTTAACAGTGCATATCGGTTAGGTTCCGATAAACGTAATGAATGATAACTTTGGGATCCTTTTATGGACCATTACTAAACGTATACTTTTATCGTATAATTGTTAAATAACTAAACTATTCATATTCATATTCCTCTTATTATAAACTTTATTTTGACCTATGAACCATTATTATACGTTCCACCATTCTTGAATTATGCCCTGTCTATTAGTCACTGCCTCACACATTCACAGTCACATTTGGCCAAATTTTGTACAAATGTTATTTTCTATTTTATGCTACCTTGTGTTCTGTTTGATTGGTATATAAACTCAGTATGTTTGAAATATAAGGATTCATATTGCAGAGGCTGAGACTGGTGTTCTGGACTTAACTGGCTGGGCTAGGTGGAAAGCAGGACCAATCAGGACTCTAGGCTGCTCGAACGTGTTTTACGCGTCCTTGGTCCGACCGACAATTCGCTGCTTCTGATTAGCGGCTTTGGGCTATAATAATATTTACGATACCCCACGAGACATTCGGGCTCAGGATCTTCAATATCGGATGAATGCCTAACCTTTATGATATGTCCGAGTGAAAAATAACTGAATAGTAACTCATAGGATCTATTTATATATTCTCATTGTATAATTATCAAGTAACTGTATTAAATGTATATTTATATTCCCTTTATTATAAGCTTTCATTTGATCTATTGAATACTACGATTAGATTTACTATGCTTAAGTTTTTCTCGAATTATTAGTTACAGTATCTCACACTCATAGCCGCTTTTGGACTGATCATGTATAATTGCTATTTTCTATTTTAGGATACGATGATGTATTTTTTTTGTTTATATAAAAGTCACGTATGTCTGAAATACATGATTTATGTAACGGAGGCTGCTATTTGTGTACTGGACTACACTGGCCGGGTTAGAAGAGAAGCCACTTTCTTGGAGGACCAATAAGACTCAGAGTTAACTCCGGGCTGCTTGTACTAGTTTATGCGTCATTGGTCTAGTCAGTAAGTTGGTGGTCTAATTGGCAATCGTATCACATGATATATTTGCAGGGCATAAGGATATTTTAGTAGCCCTGAATCTTACTCCAATCAGATCGTGTATAGTTATCGACTTAAGTCGCGTAGGTGAATAAAGGAATTAAATAAATCTAATACGAGAAAGGATTTCGAATACGTATATTTCATATAATCGTTGATCTTGACAAAAGATCAGAGAAACGAAGAGTAGAGAGCAAAGCGAAATGACACGCAGTGGAGAAGTCGTATGAGCCAACTCCATTAAGTTAAGCTACAGACAAGTGATGAGTAGGATAAGAAGTGCACACACGTATACTCATCTAAAAGCAGTCAGAATAAATAAGCCAATAATTAACAAGGTCAAAACGTGACTCAAGAAGAATGAATTGA